CCTTTCTTTCCAAGGTTGCTAAATGAATAACGGCACTTGTTAAGCTGGTAACACGGGCGTTAAGTGAATCTTGGCTTCCCCCTTGACTTTGCTCATCAGAAAGTTGCAAAGGGGGAATCCCTTGACCACCATCCCCCAGACACTGAAACCGTCATAAATACGAGTCAGCTACCAAGCTTCAGAGTTTTGATCACATGACCCTGGGGATCCTGCAACGGTCTTAAGTACGAAAACCAGGCACGTTTTTCAGTGCCGTTGTGGGTTCGAACGGTCACTAGATGCATTGTTGTTAAGTCAAGGACCTCCTCTACATGCCAGTTCCCAGGTGTCCGTATTTTGATCATGCGACCGTGCTTCAACGGTTGCAGGTGTGAAAATAGCCTTAAATTACTTTTGTAAGTGTTGTGTGCTGCTGTAACTTTAAATGGTCACTAAATGAACTGCCGCAAGCCGAGGATTATCCGCATACCTGGATACGAGTTCAAAGTTAAGGACAATTCAAGTGAAATTCCTGAACACGCCGTCCTTTTTCTTCCCAGCCCACGCAGTCTTCGGCGCTGTCCCACACATGTGCACAGACGCCAAAACAAAAAAAGTCGTCCCCCCGCCCTCTTTATCTGGAGATTGTCGTTTTATTGTTTCCAACTTTTTAAAAAAGAAAGCATCTCACCAGGGAGGAAATGGGTCAGCGTCAGACCTAGCTGGGGAAGCACTGCACTTGCTCAATGTCTGTGGCTTTTACACAGTTCCAGATGTTCGGGTGCATTAATAACGCACAACCTCAAACTCTCTTTTTGAAACCCAAGAACGTGCAAATTGCATTCAAGCCTCTCTGCCCTCATTAATGGTCCTGTTACAAGCCCGGCACTGGAAAATGCTTTTTTTGGCCTTTGTTTCAAGTTTGTGATGTTGCCATCGGTTCACTTTAACAGCCAGCGCTCAAATACTCATGCTTTTAAAAAGTAGGGGGAACTCAATGGGCTGCCTTACATTTTTATTTTTTATTTTTTTGGGGGGGTGGGGAAGAGAAATTTATTGAATTTATTTATCAATTCAGATCGCTCTCCTTTCTTCCCTGCACCTGAAACATTCCTGCGCAAGATACCTAATATGAGAAATATTTGACCATTCCTCCCGCATTATTTCGGCTGCCCTTAGGGACGTGAGTATGTGCTTCCGACATAAACTAGAATCGGTAAGGAAATTTAGGGGGAATTTTTTTTTCCTCCCCAAATAAGAAGGGGTAGAAAAACATTAAAAAATGAGATTTAGTGTCCCATCGATGTGTCCAGCAATTCAACGCTCCACACTTAAAGGTTTGAGTAGCTCCTTGTTTCTATACTGGACTTGCAAAAGAGCCCGTAAAAGACCCCAGTGTCCATTTGACAAAAGTAACAGATCTCAGAGTGACATCTTATCCGTGTGTCTTCCAGTAAGGTTCTCTAAACTGGGGGTCCCCAACTTCCAGGTCGTGGGCCACTAAGCGGGCCGCGGGAGAAATGAGCAAGTGTGTGCGCGTGAAGCTCCAGTCATGGGAGTGGAGCTGGGTGCGCAAGTGCCCTCTCGTAACGGAGGCCAGCCACAATGTTGCTAAATCAGATGAATAAATCAACAAATATGAGTGTGCCATGTGCAATGGTGTAAGGGTATCTATAGGCACACAAGGCAGGATAAACAAAGTTCTTGCAGCCACAATATTGAGTGCTCTCTGAGCTTTCTTGCAGACGTTTCATTACCCAACTAGGTAACATCATCAGTACTACAAGGGAGTGGGGGTTTGCTCTGTTTACATACTAGTGGCTTGCCCAGTCAGATTTAACAGAATAACAGAGATGGAAGGGAACTTGTAGGTCATCTAGTCAGCACTCCTCCGCCCAAGCAGGGGGGCCTACACCATTTCTGACAGAGGGCAGCCCGGTCTCTTCTTGAAAGCCTCCAGTGATGAAGCTCCCACAACTTCTGAAGGCAACTTCTGTTCCATGGGTGGATTGTTCTCACAGCCAGAAAGTTTCTCCTTGTTTCCAGGTTGAATGTCTCCTTGATCAGTTTCCATCCATTATTTCTTTGGGTATGTTGGGAAATAGCTTGACCCCCTCCTCTGTGGCTGCCCCTCAAATATTGGAAGACTGCTATTATATCTCCCCTGGTCCTTCTCTTCCCTAGACTAGCCAGGCCCAGTTTCTGCAACCATTCATCATATGTTTTAGCCTCCAGGCCCCTAATCATCTTTGTTGCTCTTCTCTGCACTCTTTCTAGAGTCGCAACATCTTTTTTATAGTGTGGTGACCAACACTGGATGCAGTATTCTAGGTGTGGTTTTACTAAGGCTTTATAGAGTGGCATTAGTACCTCCCTTGATCTTGACTGAATCCCTCTGTTAATGCAACTTAGGATTGCATTGGCTTTTTTGGTTGCAAGATTTTGTGTGAGTGTTCTTGTTAGTTCCTTGATTACTGTTAGCTTGTTTATCCGAGTAAATAATAATTGCCATAACAATATCTCAATCAAGGAGCTCCCAACTCAGGCAAACAAGCTAACAATGAATAACACAATAAACAAAAAATCGCCAAGAAGAAACATCTCTATCAACACTGGTAGGGAAAGTCATTTGTATATAAATAGAGAGCAAACCCCATTCCCTTGTAGCACTGATGATGCTATCTAGTTGGGTAATGAAACATCTGCAAGGAAACAAGCTCAAAGAGCACCAAGGACCTCACAGCTCAACCTTGAGCTATAAACATTCTCTTCTTTCGGTGCCAAAATCTTGTGTATTTCACAACACAAGCGAAAATCCCCCACTGCCAGATCAAAATTAGCACCCAAAATTTTGGTTTGCAGTACAGATAGTCCTCGACTTATGACAATTGAGCCCCAAATTTCTGTTGCTAAGTGAAACATTTGTTAAGTGAGTTTGCAACCTTTCTTGCCGAAGTTGCTAAGTGACTCACTGTCATTAAGTTAGCAACATGGTTGTTAAGCAAATCCGGTTTCCCCATTGACTTTGCTTGCCAGAAGGTTTCAAATGGTGATGATAGCATGACTGCCACTGTCATAGACATGAGTCAGTTGCCAAGCAACTGAATTTTGATGCCATGCCAAGGGGATGCTGCGATGGTTGTAGGTGTGAAAAACAGTCATAAGTTACTTCTTCTAGTGCTGTGGTAATTTTGACCGGTTACCAAATGAACTATTGTAAGTTGAGGGCTACCTGTATTCCCGATCTGTTTTAAAAGAATGACCAAGGACAGAAAACTAAAAAGAATGACATTCTTTGTGGTGGAAAAGAAAAAAATAAAAGAGGAAGCATTAGGGTTACAACAGGACTGTTATAAACCTCCCCCAAAAATGCAACATGCCGGCAATATTTATGTTAAAACCAAGATGGAGAAAAGTAAGTTTTGGTTTCTCGGCAAGGAACTAACAAAGAAAGTTCACCGACGGCCCACGAACCCTTTGTATGCTCTCCTTGCTCCAATCCCAGATTTAATTTAAAACCACCGAGGGGGTTAATTTTTATAGTTTAGTGGGCCTGCTTTTCCCATGGACCTGAATGACGCAGCCAGGATGAAAAATGGCCGTTCACCCTCTCCCTTGCACGTAATTCATTTTGTACAGAAATGCTCACGGTTGTATACTTAGCGCTCTGGCCCTGGTCCAAACCAACCTTCGAGAGGCAGAGTTGTCACTAAGATCAGTCGAAATTTCCCCCCAATAATAAAGAAGGAATAAGACTATCTCGGTGCTGAAGTCTATCGGTACCATGCAAAAGTTTCCCATCGCAGCGTCCCTGAGATGTAAAACGATTAAGACTTTTTTTTTTTTCTTTCCCACACTCTTGAATTGGGATAGGAGACATATTGAACGAATCATGCCAAGACGCAGGATGTCTCTGAAAAGCAGACAGCTGGGCGACAGGCATCTTTAATGACCCCTTATCTTAATCTTGTTTAAAAGCACCTCAGGTTTTTTTTTTTTCCCCGAGTAATCTTTTCACTTTATGATATTCTCTTTTAACGGGATATGTGTGCTTCTCTGGGAAGCTACCAATCGGAGCAAAATGTTTTTATCGCTCACGTTCATTTACCGGCTGAGCCCCTCGGTAAGGCTCAGTAAGACTTTGGGATCAGGGACCATTTTGTTTAAAAAAAAAATGGTCACAATTAATGCTCGCATCGATGGGCTTGGCTTAAAATAGGAGACTGAATCAATCACTGGATGCCGACGGATAGACAAAAGGCCACCCTTTGAAGGAGTACTTAAAAGTGAAGGGGATAAAATGGCTGGTTTGGAGCAGCCGTTCCCTCCCCCACTTGGGGGAAAAAGAAAGGAAGTCAATGTATATATCCATTTAGGCATAGACAAACAGACCTTTAAGTTTTTAATGAATAGGATAGGATAGGATAGGAGTAGTGTAGTGTAGTATAGGATAGGGGAGTGAAGTGGAGGAAAGGGAAGAGATGAGACCTTGGAGGTCTTCTAGTCCAACCCCCTGCTTAGGCAGGAAACCTTATACCATTTCAGACAATGGTTGTCCAATCTCTTCTTAAAAACTTCCGGTGTCAGGGTACCCACAACTTCTGCAGGCAAGTGGTTCCACTGATTAATTGTTCTCACTGTCAGAAAATTTCTCCTTAGTTCTAAGTTGCTTCTTTCCTGGATTAGTTTCCACCCGTTGCTTCTTGTCCTGCCTTCAGGGGCTTTGGAGAATAGCTTGACTCCCTCTTCTTTGGGGCAGCCCCTCAAATGTTGAAAAGACTGCTATCATGTCACCCCTTAGTCCTTTCTTTCACCAGACTAGACATATCCAATTCCAGCAACAGTTCTTTGTATCTTTTAGCTTCCAGTCCCCTAATCATGTTTGTACAATGGTACCTCGGTACTTATCGTTAATTGGTTCCGGGAGATGGATGAGTTTGACAGAAGCAGAAGAGTCAAACGCACACACACACACACACAAAAACACACACACCTCTATGGAAAAGAACGGTGGGCTTTACCTTGTAAGAGGGCAGAAAGCACAGCACCCCACGTCGCACCGTCTGACAGACTGATAGCAAGAGCTCGCCGACTTCATCTTGAAACTCAAAGGTTTCTGTATGTTGGAAAGTTGCCCGTAACTGCCGGTGTTTCGGGCCGGCTCCAATGGTACCAACCCAGACCTGTTGGGATATCGAATTGGGCACTGGTAAGCAAGGTTACCGAGGAATAAAATTTCCAGGATGAACGAAACAGCAGACAAAACAGGATTTTAAAGGAGGTGATACACCTCATCCAATAAAGTACAGAGAGTCCTTGGCTTACAACGAGGGTGCGGTGGCCTAGAGGTGGAGCTGAGAATATATCTGCTGAAAAAAACTCCGCATTGGTGACAAGAAGGGCATCCGGCCAGTAAACACTCAGCTCCATTCAGCTGCCTAGACTCCACTCTGCAAGGGATTATGGGATCATTAAAAGAGGATGATGATGATGAAAAGAGTCCTTGATTTACAACAATTCATTAGTGACTGTTCAGAATTACCACAGCACTGAAGAAAAGGCCCATTTTTCAAACATACTGGCACTGCCCTGTATAAAGCCAACTCTGGCATACGTCATTTACAGTCTCGTGACCCTGTTTCCCCCTCTCCTCCCTGGGTGTCTCATAAATCAGATTCTCCAACTGAGCACATTCACGGGCTGGGTGTCATCATTCATGTTCTCCAATTAAATATATGCACGGGCAAAATCTCTGGTATTTTACTTACAATCTTTTAAAGATAAGGAGTTGGGATATACTTTTGCTTTCAAACAGCTGCACTGCTCTTCCTTCCTCCCCCCCCGCTTTTATGACAACTACTAAAACAGGCATAGGAGTGTTTTATGAGTACTTGTCGGTTCTGTGGACTAGGTCAAAATGTCCACTATTGGTACACCAGAACTGGTCCAAACCTGCTGAATAACCACCTAAACCACCTAAATAGCCTGAGGGAGGTCCATATAATTTCAAGCAGTCGCTAAACGACCTGTCATAAGTTGTACTTCGAAATTTTTTTTTCTTAAACTCTAAGTCTTCCTAGCGTCCTTAACAGCAGAGGTAACCAGCTGGTGGAGGTAGGGGGGTGTTTACCTGTGAATTTCTAATGACATGGTTGGCTTCAAGCTGAATGGAGAAGTTCACCCCAAGCTCGGAGGAAAAGGAATCCATGGGAGAAAGCGTCCCTGAGGTTAAAACGATGGATCGGACCACGCTGCTTAAATCGGAAAAGGCCTACGGAGAATAAAGAAGAGAAGAGAAAAATATTTTAAGGGTTGGTGGCTTTCATCTTTAAACCCCCCCCCAAACATGGCTACAGGCAGTCCTCGACTTATTACAGTCGAGAGCAGAATTATCATGGTTAAGCCAAGCAGTTGTCCCAAAGGTGCTTTTTTCAGGAAGCAACGGGATTTAACTGTTTTTGTTTCTTTTGAAGATGGAATGGAAGGAGTGTAAATCCTGCCATTCCCCACCATCCAGTCAGAGCTGAAGAAGCTTCTTGGATGAGAAGCGAAAGGGAACATCTTCAAAAGAAGAAAAAAAAACAAACCAAGGAAGTCCAGTTGCCTCCTGAAAAAGCATTTTTGGGATAACCACGATCAGGATGACTGAGAATCTCTACAGAATTTTAGCTATACAATTTGGGATGAACGTCCTTTGAATGGTGTGGGAGTAGGAATGGATTTCCAGAGTAAGAACTGCAGACTGCAGGAACCAGGAGCGCTACTCAGGTGACCCTGAGGCCACAGACAAACCTCCAAGTGGCCTCAAGGACCCTCTAAAAGGATGCAAATGACCAGCTATCTGCAAGGAGTATAAATCCTTTCATTCCCCACCATCCAGTCACAGCTGAAGAAGTTTCTGGAATGATAAGTGAAACGTCTCCAAAAGAAAAAGCAAGGAAGCCCGGTTTTGCCTCCTGCAAAAGTACCTTTGGGACAACCATAACTGAGAATCTCTACAGACGTTAAGCAAGGCAGTTGTTAAGTGAGTCACACCCAATTTTACAACCTGTTTTGCCCTGGCTGTTAAGTAAATCACTTGAATCTGTTAAGTTAATAACATAGGAGCACAGTGGCTTGAAAACTGGGCAGGGGGTTAGCAAGCCCGCGTTTGAGACCCAAAAGCCGCTATGGAGCAGGGTTGAGCTCCCATCCGTCACTCCAGCTCCTGATAAATGGAGTCCCCAACCAAGCATCCCCAGGGCAACGGTGATGTCACCGGCTAATCCTTTCAACCTGGAAGCACTCAGTATGCAAAAAAGACCCCAAACAAACAAGAAAAAAACCCCAGATAATAACAGTTGTTAAGCAAATTTAGCTTTCCCCACTAACTTTGCTTGTTGGAAGCCAGTTAGGAAGGTTACCATGGCGATTGCATGACCCTGGAATGCTGCAACTGTCAAAAGTACATGCCAGTTGCCAAGCATCCAAACTTTGATCACGTGACTGTGAGGTTACTGTAACAGCAGTAAGTGCAAAAAAAACCAGTCATAAGTCACTTTTTCAGCACAGTTGCAACTTTAAATGGTCACTAAACAAATGGTTATATGTCAAGGACTAGCTCTATTCTCGTCTGACATTTGGCTACCAAAGACTAACATGGGCTGTGTCTTCCATTCAGCCAATCCTGAAGCATTCAAAGCCAGGGGTTACTGTTGGGTTGGGTTGTTAGTCCCTAAAAACACAGATGTTATCATCACAACTAACCAGCTTACCACTGCTGGATTCAAGCACCAGAAATTGAGGCTGTTTACGGCCGTTTTGTGTCGCATTTTTTTCCGGGTACAGACCAAGAAACCATTCTTATCCGGAGCGTCAGGTGGATTTTCATTCATCCAGGTGAAAGTTTGCTGCAGGGCAATTCGGTAATCGTCAGCAAACCTAAGGAGAAGCAAACTGAAAATGGAACTAAATCCCCCAAATCCATGTGATTATGAGGACCGCAATTGGTACAATGGAGAAAAAAGAAGCTTTACTGACCTGTGATTTCCTTTGAACAGGTAGTGGATGACCATAAATAGACCTTTCAGGATAACTTGAGTTGAAGGACTTATAACTGGAACGGAAACTGTATTTTCTAACCCAGGGAACTTTTCTTCTTTTTCGAGCACAGCGTGAAGATGTTTCTAGAAAAGAGCAAAACAGTTGCCACAAAGAAGAGGGGGTCAACCTGTTCTCCAAAACACCTGAAGGCAGGACAAGAAACAATGGAGGGAAACTATTCAAGGAGAGAAGCAACCTGGAATGAAGGAGAAACTTCCTAACAGTGAGAACAATTGATCAGTGGAACAGCTTTGCCTTCAGAAGTTGTGGATGCTCCAACATTGGACAGAGAACTGGACTAGAAGATCTCCAAGGTCCTTTCCAATTCCTTCTATTCTATTCTATTCTATTCTATTCTATTCTATTCTATTCTATTCTATTCTATTCTATTCTATTCTATTCTATTCTATCTTCTATTCTATTCTATTCTATTCTATTCATATTCTATTCTATTCATATTCTATTCATAGTGTATTCTATTCATATTCTATTCGTATTCTATTCATATTCTATTCCAGAGGTCTCATTCTTGCGGCCCACAGGCCAATTGCAGCCTGCAGGACGATATCCTGTGGCCCCCACCATGATATGAAAGTATAATATTATTGTATAATATAAATATAAAGTATAATATAAAGTATAATATTATGCGGCCCAGCCTCACCCAGACTGTGCCTCCAGCGGCCCTCAGGTAAATTGAGTTTGAGACCCCTGTTCTATTCTATTCATATTCTATTCTATTCATATTCATATTCTATTCATATTCTATTCTATTCATATTCGTATTCTATTCATATTCTATTCATATTCGTATTCTATTCATATTCTATTCATATTCTATTCTATTCATATTCTATTCATATTCCATTCTATTCATATTCTATTATTCTATTCATATTCTATTCTATTCATATTCTATTCATATTCCATTCTATTCATATTCTATTCATATACATATTCTGTTCTATTCTATTCCTTTCTAAGGTAAACAAGGACTTTAAAGAACCCACATAATTATTCCATGGGGATGGGACTTCTGTGTTTCCACTGTATTCAAAACAACAAGAATCGCGCAATTGTGCCTTCAGAAAGGAGGTGTTTTGGTCCGCCAACCCTTTTGAAGAATACTCCTACAGGGCTGGTTGCTAGTATATCAGCAGAGAGTAACCCCATTGCCTTTTAGTATTGATGCCACCTAGTTGGGTAAGGAAACATCTGCAGGAAAACAACCAAGGTCAAAGAGCATCAAGGACGCCACAGTTCAACCCTACAGCCAGAAGACTTAAATTCAAGTCCATCTTCGCCATGAAAGTCCATCTTAGCTGGGTGACTTTGGACCCGTCTCCCTTCTCTCTCTCAGCCCAACTTACCTCACAGGGTTGTTGTTTTGGGGAAAATAGAAGGGGGAAGGAATATTACATATGTTCACCGCCTTCAGGTATTTGTAAAAAATTAAAACAGTGGGATACAATTAAGATATATAAACAAAATAAACCCTGAGCTACAAATATTCACTTCTACTAGTATTTAATTAATAAATCAATTACTAGGTGACCACAGAGCAAAATCCAAACAACATAAGAATATTGGGTAAGTTTGTTTTAGCCAGATGAATGTTCGTACAGGTAGTCCTTGACTCACGACCACAACTGAGCCCAAAATTGATGTTGTTAAGTGAGACATTTGTTAAATCTTTTCTTGCCATAGCTGTTAAGTGAATCACTGCAGTTGACAAGTTAGTAACCTGGTTATTAAGCGAATCTGGCTTCCCCATTGACGTTGCTTGTCAGAAGGTCACAAAAAGGGATCACATGACCCTGGGACACTGTAACTGTCATAAGTACATGCCAGTGGCCAAGCATCTGAATTCTGGGGCGGGGCCTGTCAGAGGTGGGATTTGCCAGATCTCCAAACTACTAAAAATTTCTGCTACCGGTTCTCCAAAACTGGTCAGAACCTGCTGAATCCCACCTCTGTCGTAACTATGAAACACCATCATGTCACATTTTTTTAGTGCCGTTGTAACTTTGAACGGTCCCTAAACGAACAGTTGTAAGTCAAGGACTACCCGTGTTGTATTTTTACCATTGAGTTCCGAATTATTTTGAAGATGGCCTCTTCAAATATGATTTTCATGTAGGGTTAAAATTCCTACCTGTAAAATGGGAAACGATGCATCCGTTATTCCCATTTCGTGGAAATTGGTCACCATTTGACTTCCGCTCCAGACTTTACTTGAGGTCTCGTAACCGCTCTGGATCAGCTGACTGCAGGCGCCCCTTAACCAACTGCAAAACAACAGGCGATTTTTGTGTTCGTTTTTGTTAACAGAGGCTGTGGTCTAACAATAGTCATGTGATCAAAATTTGGACGCTTGGCAACTGGCACGTTTTTATTATGGTTTCATCTCCTTTTTATGACCCCATAAACCCTCGCAAGTTGGAGCCTGGGCAACTGAATGGCGCTGAGTGTTTACTGGCCGGATGCCCTTCCTGTCTCCAATACAGGGTTTTGTTCAGCAGATATATTCTCACTGTGTCCGGAGAAAGAAATATCTGCCTCTACTTAGGATCGAACTCACAGCCTTCATATCATGAGGCGAGAGCTCCATTTCTAGGCCACCGCACCACTCTTATTTATTATGGTTTATTATTATGTATTTATTATTTATTATGGTTGCAGTGTCTCGAGGTCATGCAATTGCCATATGCCACCGGCTTCCGACAAGCAAAGTCAATAAGGACGGACACCAGAATCCCTTAAACATCTGTGTGATCGCCTCACAGCCATGGATGGCGATTCGCTTCCTGACCGCAGCAAACAGGGTCATAAAATTGGGTGCAACTCACTAAACAGCCACCTTGCTTAGTGAGAGACGTTCTATTCCCAATTGTGGTCATAAATCCAGGACTACCTCTAATAATAGTACCAATCTGTAATATCTTACAAAGTTCAGTGAGATTTGAAGAAGGTTCCACCGCAGTGTGAACCACTCAAGTCAATGTTAAAAGACACAAGTCTGGTATTAAAAAATGCCTAAAAAAATAAACAGGGAAAGAGAACCAAATCTATGGTCCTCAAAGCTTTTAAGTTAAAGCATCCCAAATACTCCTCACAGGTAGTCCTCAGCTGACAACCACAAATGAGCCCAAAATTTATGTTGCCCCAGTGCTGGTCAATGGACCGAAGATTTGGCATCCAATTTTAAAAAATGTGTGCTGTGATTAATAAGAGAAGGACTCCTCCGCTCTTCGAGCCCCTGAAAAAGCAAAGTAGCTGTGAACTCTCACACATGTGCAAAACCAGATTTTGAAACAAATTCCCAAAACAAAGTTGCCAACCACAAAGCACTTCAGTTTACACCACTTGACACAACGGGAGTTCGTTTTTAAAGCATGCAACGCAAAAGGGATCCAAAGCCATCCAATTTTTTAAAAAATGTCCAATGCTTTGCCCAGGGGCATGACGGCTCAGCGGTTAAAGATCCTGAGCTTGTCAGCTGGAAAGCAGTTTTGGTCACCACACTATTATTAGACCATTACACACCCAACTGCAAAACTACACTTCCATATTTTACTTTTTGCATGCAATTTGAGATCTCTGCACTTCCAAGATCAAGGGAGATACTAATACCACTCTATAAAGCCTTAGAAAGACCATGCCTAGAATACTGTATCCGGTTTTGGTCACCACACTATAAAAAGATGTTGAGACTCTAGAAAAAGTGCAGAGAAGAGCAACCAGGATGATGAGGGGACTGGAGGCTAAAACATATGAAGAATGGTTGAAGGAACTGAGGACCAGGGGAGACATGAGAGCAGTCTTCCAATATCTGAGGGGCTGCCACAGAGAGGAGGAAGGGGTCAAGCTATTTTCCAAGACCAGACAAGGAATGATTGAAACTGATCAAGGAGAGATTCAACCTAGAAATAAGGAGAAATTTTTTGACAGTGAGAACAACCAACGAATTGAACAGACGTTGCCTTCGGAAGTTGTGAAAGCTTCATTACTGGAAACTTTCAAGAACTGGACTGTCATCTGTCAAAAATGGTGTAGGGTCTGCTTGCGGTGGGGTTGGATAGATGACCTACAAGGCCCCTTCCAACTCTGTTAATCTGTCCTTGTATCTGATGAGGTACAACTTCATTGCTGCTGCCCATTTTGCATCTCTTCTGCTTTCTGCTTGTTGTTTTTAACTACGACTGAGGCAATTTTACAGGATGATCAACCTCAGTTTTCCTGATAAGGTTAAATGTTCGGGGCATTCCAGGTTCAGTTTCATGATTTTCATCTGTTCAAAAGCTTTTGTAGAGTCGTCGTTTTTTTTTTAACATCCCAAAGAGCTGAGGGAGAATTCCCCTTTGTGACTGAAAAAAAGTCTATTTTTTTTCCCCAGGAGCAGAAAAAAGCACGGATCTCAACAGAAGGAATAACAAAAAAGGAGTAAAATCAGCCCCAAAAGAAGAAGAAGAAAAAAAAAAAAAGGAAGCTTTGGATCTGACCCAAATATTCTTTATCGGCAGTTTCCTTCACGCTCGTACGGAGAAAGAGCCGTCGAGATAACGACTGTTGGGAAGAGCAGCTTTCAACTTTTTCATCCTCACTTCAGATAAAGTTGCACTTCAGAGAAATTGAAGGTGTTTTTTTTTTTCTCGCCAACGCTGCTAGTCTCTAGGTCAGGGGCGTCAAACTCAATTTCACCTCAGAGGTGGAGGGAGTGTGGCTGACTAGATGGGCGTGCCCCGCTTAATGCCGCTCCCCAAACTACTGGCATGTTTCCTCTTCACATTGGGCAGACCGGGCCAAAGCAACGCCCCTTACATTTTCCAGGACAGACCCCAGTGGCCAGATCCAACCACATTGCGGGCCAGATGTGGCCCGTGAACTTCGAGTTTAACACCCTTGCTCCAGGTTCACAAGACCAACTCTGGAATGCCGGCCTCAGACAGGGCGGTTTAGGCACAGAGTGTCTTAAAACAGACGTATCCAATTTTGACACGTTTGAAGATTTGTGGACTTCAACTCCCAGAATTCCCCGACCAGCCACAATGGCTGGAGAATTCTGGGAGTTGAAGTCCACAAGGCTTAAAGTTTTGAAGGTTGAATAACCCTGCTCTAAATAGCAATAGCACTTATATTTGAATAGGAATAGGAATAGAATAGGAATAGAATAGAATAGAATAGAATAGAATAGAATAGAATAGAATAGAATAGAATAGAA